ATTATCAATCCTTCCAATGAGCAGTCAGGGTTGATTTCCTTTAAGATTGACTGGTTTGATCTCCTAGCAGTCCAGGAATAGTTAATTCCATATTGTTAAAGAACAAATCACAGGCCAGTACTACATTATGTTGGTTCATTATTTTGGTACACCAATTGGTACATTGGTACATTATGTTGGCATCAGTGGGTGATTTACTGTTTCAGCTTACATTTTGGAGGGAAGATTAGATTAGTGATGATAGTTGAAATTGGCTTAGTCAATCTAGTTTGTTTTGATATTACTAACAGGTTCTTTATATGAAATGTGCTGCTTTTCTTTCTAAATATTAGGTCTATCCAGTCACAACAGAACAAAGAATCTAATAATTGTCTCTGCAGATCACTCTAGAGTCCATTCCAAACATGTGGGATTAGGTACTGAGGCTTGTGGGGGAAGAGGTAGATATGTGGCTCTCTGTGCTTGATATGACATTGTTCAGAAACTTTCCTTCCTTGAAATCTCCTCTGTTCACATATTTTTGGATTGTAGTCAGAATTTAATATAACGTATAATAGGGACTCGATAGGTGGATAAAACTGCCAAATCCAGTCTAAACATCTGGCTGACTATGTGACCAACCATATTTTTTATAAATATATTGCATTACAGATAGTCCTTGCTTAACGGCCACAATTGGGACTGGATTTTAGATAGCTAAGCAATGAGGTCATTAAGCAAATCATCACGTGACCAGACCCGATTTTACGACCTTTTTTGTGGCAGTTGTTAAGCAAATCACATTGTAGTTAAGTGAATCACATGGTTCCCCATTGATTTTGCTTGCCGGAAGGTGACTGGGAAGATCACAAATAGCAATCATGTGACCCCAGGACACTGCATCCGTCGTAAGCACAAACTGGTTGCCAAGTGCCTGGATTGTGATCACATAACTGCAGGGCGCTGTGATGGTTGTAACTTCAGGCACCAGTTGTAAGTCACTCTTTTTAGTGCTGGAACTTCGAACGGTCACTAACTGAACAGTCATTAAGTGAGGACTACCTGTATTGCTTTTAATACAGGTAGTCCTTAACATACGACTACAATTGGGACCAGAACTTGCATCGCTAAGTGGTGTGGTCTTTAAGTGAAACATCACATGACCGCACCACTTAGAGATGGCAGTTCCAGTAGTCCCAGTTGCGGTAGTCAAGCTAGGCAGCGCTGTCATTAGGCAAGTACCTCACACTTCTGCCCTTCTGCACTCACCTTCACTTCAGCTCCCTCCACCCTCCTATCTCCCCACCATCTCTGCCCTCTTGGCTACCCTGGCATTGCAAGAATGGGGTGTGCCTGCCATTCTCCAAATTGCTCATGTCCTTCTCCAAATTGTGTGCCCCATTCCCATGCTGCTTTGGAAAGCCTTTGGAAAGATTCTGAGGTCTTCCAAGGCATCACGAGAATAGGGCGTGCCTGCCATTCTCCAAATTGTGCGTGCACTTCTCCAAATTGTGTGCCCCTGTTCTTGTGATGCCTTGGAAAACCTCAGAATCTTTCCAAAGGGTTTCTGAAGCAGCACAGGAATGGGGTGTGCAATTTGGAGAATAGCACACAGAATTTGGAGAACAGTACGAGTGGCCATGGGAAGAAGGGCTGGAGCAGCCAGCAGCTGCCTCACATAAAGCAGACCGGACGTGCCTCATCAGCAGTGGGAGGAAAATGGTGAAGGTCATCTGGGCACAGCAGGGCCTGCAGAGTGCAGGGTGGTGGGGTGGCTGGGGCTTTGGACTGTGGTGCTGGGGTTGGCTGGCTGTGGTGCGGGGCTTGAGGCAGCACTCTTCAGCAGCAATGCTGGCTGTGCTGGGACAGAAGTAGAAGCCTGGGGGCAGTGCCGGCCGGCTGAGACTGCTGAAGGCCCCAGGCCTCTAATTCAGCCCCAGCGTTGCCACTGCTGCCAAGAAATGCTGCTGTGCAGGGCACCCAAAAAGGCAGAGATGGGGGGAGATAGGTGGATGGGGGGAGTTGAAGCGCCCTTGCGGTCATAAGTGCAGGCAGGCTGCCAAGTGCCCAAATTTTGATCACATGACTGCAGGGGCATTGCAACGGCCGTAACCTAGGATGCCAGTCATAAGTCCCTTTGTTCAAGCACCATCATAACTTCAAACAGTCACTGAATGAATGGTTGTAAGTTGAGGACTACCTGTACTGTTTTATATATTCAAAGTTCAACAGATACATTGTATACACCAGTAATTAGTTGGATGGATGATGAAGTTGGCAGAATAGATTGTCGACTAATAACCAGGAAGTAGCTAATATTTAGAGGTTTGGTGAGAACCCTTAGGTATATGATCAAGCTTAACTCTGTATTACTCCATCCTTCGGTTTATTGTAAAATTTGGAAAGGAATAACTGTTTTGCTTCTTCACAAATGCAAGCTGAAAACCATTATTATGGAAGCTGACTGCTGAATCCATGCTCTTTTGCTAAAATCTCAGGGAAAAAAAAGTTATTTGGCCAATCCATATCTTATCCATTTGCCTTTTAATAAACTCTTCTACTGGAGACATTTTTAATGAGACAGTGTGCTGGCAAGGCCCAGTGTCAGGTACTAGAAGAAGTGCTTTGTTGTGCAGATGTCTTAAGAATTGCTCCAGAGGATGAAATATGACTGTGTTGACCTTTCAGCTATGAGCTTATTTGTCAGGATTCAAATAAGTTGAAAGGATCAAACCAAACAGTTTCCGTAGTGAGAGTGGGAATTGTGTTTCAGAGGTCAACAGCAAGGGCCACATCGCGGATTCCATAATGTAGCCAATTGTTGGTACATATTAAAGTAGTGGAGCCGCTTCTGCAGTCAGAGACACAATTAAAATTCTAATTTATTAATGTATACGGACAGCTGGTCCAACTTGTCACTCACTGATTCAAATGACTGCCCATTCTTTTTCCACCCTTGCTCCTTGAGCTTTCTCATCCTTAAACCTACTCTTGAATATATCAGACCCTGGGAGCCCAGTGGCAAAATAAAGGTACATGTTTTAAAAGAGCCTGAGCATGAAAGAGAAGTTGTTAAGAAAAACTGTATAATTGAACACAGATCCTTCCTCATATTACTAGACAGTATGATGTATTGAATAACACTGTTTGCATCGACTTTGCCAATAGTCTGTTGTCATGCTCAGTCTAAAATTAGTGCCGTGATTCCAGCTTGATTTAATATTTCCACCTGTTAGCAAATGTACTTAGTTCCTTTTTCTTTTTTAAATAAAATGGTTTTGATACCTGTACTACTGTCCTCCAGGCTAAGGTGCTTGGACCCCCCTTGTCGGAGGTCAGTTGCTAGGAGGGGGGTGTTTGCCAAGCTCCCCATTTGCTGCTCTTCCTTTTTTTTTTTGGTCTGAGTCTGGTATTGTTGTTCTGTATCTTTGTTATACTGCTTTTATATTGTTTTGGTGTATTGTTAGCCACGCAGAGTCATTGGGAGCTGGGTGGCATAAAATTGCAATAAATAAATAAGCAAATAAGTTACAGATTAACAAAGTTTGCTGAGAGCATTCTTCAGAGATAAAATCAGGAACTGCATTTCCTGTTGTTAAACGGATGCCACTGAGTGCCATTTTTTGAAGACTGATAATATGGCGTCAGTCTCTATATGTAAATTTTGGTTGCGTTTCCTAGCCATACGTCTGCTTGTTTATAAGATTGGAGGAAAAGTAAAAAGTTATACTTGATCAGGAAATGTTTATTAGGACGTGTAAACCAACTTTCTAAATCTCCTTGCCCCTGTACCTCTGAACAGGGAAGCTGGATCGCTTAGATAGCCATGCTGA